AGAAGTGGGAGAATGCGACCGATGGGAGGTCGGCAGTTATTCGTTTTTTGATGGGTCAATGATACCTCGTTTGCAACTTGATTCGGCTGAGGTGCGTCCCAGCCTTCGTTTAGACCTACGTCAGAGTCAAGTAAAGCAGCAGTCAAGTTACACTTCTGTACATTCGTCAGGATGCTTGCTGTTTCAGTAGCTTTAATACTTGAGCTGTGCGAATTGTTTGCGACCTTTAACCGAATTTCGGAAGGAAGAGGTTTCCGATTTCTCCACCATCGATCCAAAACATCCTTCGCTTGTTGCTCTGACTGAACCACAAGTTTTAGGATTCTAGGGCCTCATCCTCTATAATTCGATGAGAGAAGTATCCTGGTGAGCGATAGTGCCACAACATCATCCAAAGAAAGTGCTTCACGAATGAACCGCCACTGTTCTAAATCGTGCTTTCCGGTATCTTGAACATGGTTAGAAGGATGTTCTGGCACGCCATGTATGAAGACTGTGTTTAGGCGGTCTTGCTTGCTGTGCCCCTCTTCGGTGTTTCTTTTTGATTGTCGCGCGCTCCAAGGGACAACAGGATAGATACATATCACACAGGATTCGTGTTTTAGCGCGCTTGCGGAGAGCAAAACATTTTCCACGTCGGTGGAGGATTCTAGAGTTACTCGAATAAGTCTGGGTTCACCATAGTGTGGCGAGTTCGGGTGACGAGTAATTCGTAACAAGTTTATGGGCTTGGCTTTGATACCCATCTGCATACACAATGAGTTCCATTGGTCTTGGTCGCCTGATAACTTATCCCGCAAAGTGATGGCGGTAGATTCAGGGACATTTGGGCATACAACAGTCCGGGCACTATTGCTGGATCCCTTTTTAATCGATCTAAAAGGTATGGTACTCATTTGTCTTGACTTGTTGACAAGTGATTGCTGTTTTTCTCTCTATTTGCATTAACGGTGTTTACAATGGAAGAGGACGCAACGGCGGCCTCGCGGTAGACCCTTGTAGCAATCTCTGCATATGTAACCAATGTTATGGGAGGCTAAGTCTCGACAAGAGATATTTCAGCTACAGGTACCAAGGGTTGGCCTTTGGCTGCTCCATCCTTGTTCATACTAAATGTAAGGTCTAGTGGAATTTGCTTAACCAGACGTTTAGAATGGTGCCTGATTTTCTTTGCTGTGAGTACTGCTTGATTCACATAGGTACAGTCTGTTTTCGCCCGGCGTTCTACCAAAGTTGGAGAAGACAACGGAGATGGAGACATGGCTGATTGCGGTGCAGGCGAGGCGATTTGTTCAGCTTTTCGTTGTTTAGCAGCCGCTAAGCTTCTGTGGTCCATACTCGCTTCCATTGAAGTAATCTCATTGTTTATCCTCTGCTCTGCTTCTGCGATTAACCGGTCGCATTCCTCAGCTAGGATAAGCAAGCACTTAACGAGGGGGATAAGGGGACACGCAGTACAGAACCAAAATGCATCTTGAGAGCTATTTAGCTCCCGTAACTGTGTTGGGACACATTTGCACATTTCATATGGTACCATGATAAACAGTGCGAACAAGCCAGACCAATTTTTACTGCCCGATGACATTCTCCTTACCCGCAAATGCCTTTCGATTAGAGTCTCTTCGGTTTTGCCTTTCTGCCATTCAATTTGGTGTCGTTACCTGAGCCAGTGGGTTGGTTAGCGTTCTGTACTATTACAGCTTTGAGAGCGGCGCACATCGGTCAGGCAAGCGTGGTGGTTGCAAGGTCAAATGAGCGATCGGCGTGGTCGCGCGGTCCGTGTGATGGGTAATACAGCCGCACTGGCTGACAAGGTCACAAGGAATAGCGAGTGACTGCAACCTGAACAGAGCGCTGAACACTGATACTTTCACAGCTGTGTTAAGAAACACTAGATCGGAGTAAGCTTAGGCTTTTCGGCCTGCCTCGAGAATTCTGTACCGAATGGTGTCACACAGAATGGCAATCGGCTCAATACGATTGAATTAAACGCTTGCGCGTAATCACAGATGCCAGTGAAAACGCTTAGTGATGGCACAGCCTCTAATCGTAGAAGATATTTCAACGTATGATGGATCACTGTGTAGAGCTGGTAAATCAGGTTCGAATGAGCGTACAGTGAAAACGCTGCGAGAAGATGGAGAGAGGATGAAGGGAAATAATCCAAATGAACCAGTAGCACGCACGTCACGCGTGTGTGAGGAGGTGTAAGGGATAGAGTGCAAGAAATAAATATGCGATATGTCAACCGCTTGTAAAACACAGAAAAGCAGTGTAAATGTGCAAGATAATCAGAGGAAAGTGATACCGTGTCTCATGTAAGTAATCCAGTTTGGGGTACAGCAAAGTTCTTTTTGGACTTTTTACTCCCCCGGTGGTTTCCTATCCCGGACGATGGCTTCCACGACATCATTCTCTTCTTCTGGTACGCTTCTAATAGGCACAGCTGTCTGACGTCTCTTCGCAATGTGCCTTTGTTAGTCCTCACCAGTGCTTGTCG